GGATTTCTGGGGGATTTCTGGGGGATTTTTTAGGGATTTTTTGGGGAGTTTTTGGGGATTTTTGAGGGATTTTTTTGGCGATTTTTTTTAATTTTTGGGATTTTTTGGAGGATTTTTGTGGGGATTTTTTGGGGTTTTTTTGGGGAATTTTTGCAGATTTTTTTGGGATTTATTGGGGGTTTGCAGCGACAGCCGGAACGTGCTCCGGCCCTTCAGCCTGGGGGCGTTGGGGGATTTGGGATTTTTGGGGAATTTTTGGGGGAATTTTGGGGGATTTCTTGGAGACTTTTTGGGATTTTTTGTGGATTTTTGCAAATTTTTGGGAAATTTTTGAGGGATTTTTGGGGATTTTTATGGGATTTTTGGGGAATTTTTGGGGGATTTCTGGGGGATTTTTTAGGGATTTTTGGGGGAGTTTTTGGGGATTTTTGAGGGATTTTTTTGGTGATTTTTTTTAATTTTTGGGATTTTTTGGAGGATTTTTGTGGGGATTTTTTGGAGATTTTTTTGGGAATTTTTGCAGATTTTTTTGGGGATTTATTGGGGGTTTGCAGCGACAGCCGGAACGTGCTCCGGCCCTTCAGCCTGGGGGCGTTGGGGGATTTGGGATTTTTGGGGGATTTTGGGGATTTTTTAGGGGATTTTTGGGGAATTTTTGGGGATTTTTTGGGATTTTTTGGGGAATTTTTGCAGATTTTTTGGGATTTATTGGGGCTTTATTGGGGGTTTGCAGCGACAGCCGGAACGTGCTCCGGCCCTTCAGCCTGGGGGCGTTGGGGGATTTGGGATTTTTGGGGAATTTTGGGGATTTTTTAGGATTTTTTGGGGGATTTTTGGGATTTTTTTGGGATTTTTTGGGGGATTTTTTGGGGATTTTTTGGGGGATTTTTTTGGGAATTTTTGCGGGATTTTTTGGGGGATTTTTTTGGGAATTTTTGCAGATTTTTTGGGGATTTATTGGGGGTTTGCAGCGACATCCGGAACGTGCTCCAGCCCTTCAGCCTGGGGGGGTTTGGGAGCGTTTGGGGGATTTGGATTTTTGGGGAATTTTTGGGATGTTTTAGGAGTTTTTGGGGATTTGTGGATTTTTTGGGGGATTTTTTTGGGGATTTTTTGGAGACTTTTCTGGGATTTTTTGGGATTTTTGGGGGGATTTTTTTGGGAATTTCTGCAGATTTTTTGGGAATTTTTGGGAATTTTTGCAGATTTTTGTGGGGATTTATTGGGGGGTTTTGGGGATTTTTTTGGGATTTTTGGGGAATTTTGGGGGGTTTTTTTGGCAATTTTTGGGATTTCGGGGGATTTTTTGGGATTTTTTTGGGGAATTTTGGGGGTTTTTTGGGAATTTTAGGGGATTTTTTGCGGGGGTTTTGGGGATTTTTTTGGGATTTTTTGCAGATTTTTTTTATTTTTTGGGAATTTTTGCAAAATTTTGGGAATTTTTGGGGGATTTTTTCGGGATTTTTTTGGGATTTTTGGGGGATTTCTGGGGGAATTTTATGGGATTTTGGGGGAATTTTGGGGGGATTTTTTGCCGATTTTTGCAGATTTTTTTGGGATTTTTGGGAATTTTGGGGGATTTTTGGGGGGATTTTTTTTGCAGATTTTTTTGATTTCCTGTGGGGATCTTTTTGGATTTTTTGGGGATTTTTTGGGATTTTATTGGGAATTTTTGGGAATTTTTTTGGATTTTTTGGGGATTTTTGCAGATTTTTTGGGGATTTATTGGGGGTTTGCAGCGACAGCCGGAACGTGCTCCGGCCCTTCAGCCTGGGGGCGTTGGGGATTTGGGATTTTTGGGGAATTTTTGGGGGAATTTTTAGGATTTTTTGGGGGATTTGTGGGATTTCTTTGGGAATTTTTTTGGGAATTTTTGGGATTTTTTGGGGATTTTTTGGAGATTTTTTTGGGAATTTTTGCAGATTTTTGGGGGATTTATTGGGGGTTTGCAGCGACAGCCGGAACGTGCTCTGGCCCTTCAGCCTGGGGACGTCGGGGGATTTGGGATTTTTGGGAATTTTTGGGGATTTTTTAGGATTTTTTGGGGGATTTTTGGGATTTTTTGGAGACTTTTCTGGGATTTTTTGGGGGATTTTTGGGGATTTTTTGCAGATTTTTTGGGGATTTATTGGGGGTTTGAAGCGACAGCCGGAACGTGCTCCGGCCCTTCAGCCTGGGGACGTTGGGGGATTTGGGGGATTTGGGGAATTTTTGGGGATTTTTAGGATTTTTTGGGGGGATTTTTTGGGATTTTTTGGGGGATTTTTGGGAATTTTTGCAGATTTTTTGGGTATTTATTGGGGGTTTGCAGCGACAGCCGGAACGTGCTCTGGCCCTTCAGCCTGGGGGATTTGGGGGTTTGGGATTTTTGGGGAATTTTTGGGGATTTTTTGGAGACTTTTCTGGGATTTTTTGGGATTTTTTGGGGGATTTTTTGGGGATTTTTTGGGATTTTTTTGGGAATTTTTGCAGATTTTTTAGGGATTTATTGGGGGTTTGCAGCGACAGCCGGAACGTGCTCCGGCCCTTCAGCCTGGGGGCGTTTGGGGGATTTGGGGTTTTTGGGGAATTTTTGGGGATTTTTTAGGATTTTTTGGGGGATTTTTCTGGGGATTTTTTAGGATTTTTTGGGGGATTTTTTGGGGATTTTTTGGAGATTTATTGGGAATTTTTGCAGATTTTTTGGGGATTTATTGGGGTTTGCAGCGACAGCCGGAACGTGCTCGGCCCTTCAGCCTGGGGGCGTTGGGGATTTGGGATTTTTGGGGAATTTTTGGGGATTTTTGGAGACTTTTCTGGGATTTTTTGGGATTTTTTTGGGAATTTTTGCAGATTTTTTGGGGATTTATTGGGGGTTTGCAGCGACAGCCGGAACGTGCTCCGCCCTTCAGCCTGGGGGCGTCAGGGATTTGGGATTTTTGGGGAATTTTGGGGGAATTTTGGGGGATTTCTTAGAGACTTTTTTGGGATTTTTTGGGGATTTTTGCAAATTTTTGGGAAATTTTTGGGGGATTTTTGGGGGATTTCTGGGGATTTTTGTGGGAATTTTTGCAGATTTTTTGGGGATTTATTGGGGGTTTGCAGCGACAGCCGGAACGTGCTCCGGCCCTTCAGCCTGGGGGCGTTGGGGTTTGGGATTTTTGGGGAATTTTTGGGGATTTTTTGGAGACTTTTCTGGGATTTTTTGGGATTTTTTGGGGGATTTGTTGGGGGATTTTTGGATTATTTTGGGAATTTCTGCAGATTTTTTGGGGATTTATTGGGGTTTGCAGCGACAGCCGGAACGTGCTCCGGCCCTTCAGCCTGGGGGCATTGGGGGATTTGGGATTTTTGGGGAATTTTGGGGGATTTTTTAGGATTTTTTGGGGGATTTGTGGGATTTTTTGGGATTTTTTTGGGAATTTTTGCAGATTTTTGTGGGGATTTAATGGGGGGTTTTGGGGATTTTTGGGGATTTTTCGGAATGTTATGGGATTTTTGGGGAATTTTTGGGGGAATTTTTGGGATTTTTTTGGGGGATTTCTGGGGGATTTCTGGGGGATTTTTTTGGGATTTTGGGGGGGGATTTTTTTTTTAATTTTTGTGATTTTTTTTTAATTTTTGGGGATTTCTCAGGGGGAATTTTTTGGGATTTTTTGGGAGTTTTTGGGGATTTTGAGGATTTTTTGGGGAATTTTTGCAGATTTTTTAGGATTTTTTGGGGGATTTTTTGGGGGGATTTTTTGGGGAATTTTGGGGATTTTTTGGGATTTTTTGGGAATTTGGGGGGGGGGTTTGCATTTTTGGGGGATTTTTTGGGGGATTTTTTGGGGGATTTTTTTGGGAATTTTTACAGATTTTTGGGGGATTTTTACAGATTTTTGGGGGATTTTTTGGAGATTTTATGGGATTGTTTTGGGATGCTTTTGGGAATTTTGAGGAATTTTGAGGGGTTTTGGGGAATTTTCAGGAATTCGTAATAATTTTTGGGCGTTTCAGGGAATTTTTGAGATTTTTCTGGAATTTGTGGGATTTTAGGGATTTTTTTTGTGATTTTTTTTTGAATTTTCACAAATTTTTGGGAATTTTTGAGGATTTTTTGGGGATTTTTTGGGAATTTTTGCAGATTTTTGGGGTGATTTTTTTGAGAGTTTTTGGGAATTTTAGGGATTTTTATGGATTGTTTTGGGATGCTTTTGGGTATTTTTGGGAATTTTGAGGGGTTTGGGGGAATTCTTGGGAATTTGTGCAAATTTTCAGGAATTTGGAGGGATTTTAGGGAGTTTCAGGGAATTTTTGAATTTTTTTCGGGAATTTGTGGGACTTTTGGGGAATTTTCGGGATTTTTCGGGGGGCTATTTTTCAGGAATTTTTGGGAATTTTAGGGATTTTATGGGATTGTTTTGGGATGCTTCTGGGAATTTTCAGGAGTTTTGAGGGGTTTGGGGGAATTTTTGGGAATTTGTTCAAATTTTCAGGAATTTGGAGGGACTTTAGGGAGTTTCAGGGAAATATTGGGCTTTTTTTTGGGAATTCATGGAGTTTCGGGGAGTTTTCAGGATTTTTTGGGGGGCTATTTTTCAGGAATTTTTGGGAATTTTAGGGATTTTATGGGATTGTTTTGGGATGCTTCTGGGAATTTTCAGGAGTTTTGAGGGGTTTGGGGGAATTTTTGGGAATTTGTTCAAATTTTCAGGAATTTGGAGGGATTTTAGGGAGTTTCAGGAATTTTTGAAATTTTTCGGGAATTTGTGGGACTTCTGGGGAATTTTTTTGGGAGGGGGGATTTTTCAGGAATTTTGGGGGGGTTTTTTTTTGGGGATATTTCAGAAATCTTCGAGAATTTTTGTGGTATTCGGGAATTTTGGAAAATTCTCAGGAAGTTGTGGGAATTTTCAGGATTTTTTTTTTTTTTTTAATTTTCGTGAATTTCAGAGAGATTTTTTTTTTTTTTTTTTGAATTTTTGTGAATTCCTGAGAGTTTTGTGAATTCCTGAGGGGATTTTTGGGGCCGAACTCACGCCTGGATGCTCTCGCGCTCCAGCAGGGCCTCGTTCAGCAGCCGGTTCAGCTCCTGCTCGTTCTGCGCCGCCCCCGCCACGCGCTCGGCCAGGTCCCGCAGCCGCAGCCGCCGGCGCGGGTTGGGAACGAAGGGTTGGGAACCTGGGGACAATGAGGGGACATTGACAGGACACCCTGGGGACATTGCCAGGACACCCTGGGGACACCACGCGCTCGGCCAGGTCCCGCAGCCACTGGCGGGGATTGGGGAACAATGGGTTGGGAACCTGGGGACACTGAGGGGACACCGTGAAGACAGCCCAGGGACACCTTGGGGACATTTCCAGGACACCACGGGGACACCCTGGGGACAGCACGCACTTGGCCAGGTCCCACAGCTGCAGCCGCTGGCGGGGATTTGGGACCGACGGGTGGGGAACCTGGGGACAATGAGGGGACACTGAGGCGACACCATGGGGACACCCTGGGGACATTGTCAGGACAGCCCTGGGGACACCCTGGGGACACCCTGGGGACACTGCCAGGACACCCTGGGGACAGCACGTTCTCGGCCAGGTCCTGCAGCCGCAGCCGCCGGCGCGGGTTGGGGAACGACGGGTTGGGAACCTGGGGACACCATGGGGACACGGTGGGGACACTGCCAGGACACCATGGGGACAGCACGCGCTCGGCCAGGTCCCACAGCTGCAGCTGCCAGTGGGGACTGGGGAACGATGGGTTGGGAACCTGGGGACACCATGGGGACATCGTGGGACATTGCCAGGACACCCTGGGGACAGCACGCGCTCGGCCAGGTCCCGCAGCCGCAGCCGCCGGCGCGGGTTGGGGAACGAAGGGTTGGGAACCTGGGGACAATGAGGGGACACCAAGGGGACAGGGCAGGGGACACCGTGGGGACACCGCGGGGACAGCCTGGGGACAGCACGCGCTTGGCCAGGTCCTGCAGCCGCAGCCGCCGGTGGGGATTCGGGAACGACGGGTTGGGAACCTGGGGACACCGTGGGGACACTGAGGGGACATTGCCAGGACACCCTGGGGACATTGCCAGGACACCCTGGGGACAGCACGCGCTCGGCCAGGTCCCGCAGCCGCAGCCGCCGGCGCGGGTTGGGGAACGACGGGTTGGGAACCTGGGGACATCGTGGGGACATCGTGGGGACATTGCCAGGACAGCCTGGGGACACCCTGGGGACACCGTGGGGACACCCTGGGGACACCCTGGGGACAGCACGCGCTCGGCCAGGTCCCGCAGCCGCAGCCGCTGGCGGGGATTTGGGAATGAAGGGTTGGGAACCTGGGGACATCGTGGGGACACTGAGGGGACACTGCCAGGACACCCTGGGGACACCCTGGGGACACCCTGGGGACAGCACGTTCTTGGCCAGGTCCCGCAGTCGCAGCCGCCGGCGCGGATTGGGGAACGACGGGTTGGGAACCTGGGGACAACGAGGGGACATTGCCAGGACACCCTGGGGACATTGCCAGGACACCATGGGGACACTGCCAGGACACCCTTGGGACACCCTGGGGACATTGCCAGGACACCCTGGGGACAGCACGCGCTTGGCCAGGTCCCGCAGCCGCAGCCGCCGGCGCGGGTTGGGGAACGAAGGGTTGGGAACCTGGGGACATCGAGGGGACATTGCCAGGACACCCTGGGGACAGCACGCGCTTGGCCAGGTCCCGCAGCCGCAGCCGCCAGCGGGGATTCGGGAATGAAGGGTTGGGAACCTGGGGACATCGTGGGGACATAGTGGGGACATTGTCAGGACACCCTGGGGACAGCCCGGGGACAGCCTGGGGACAGCCCGGGGACAATGCACAGACACCATGGGGATACTGTGGGGACATCGTGGGGACAGCCAAGGGGACACCGTGGGCACAGCCCAGGGACACCGAGGGGACACTGTGAGGGACACTGTGGGGGACAGTTCAGGGACACCATGGGGACATGGCTGGGACACCACAGGGACACCTTGGGGACACCCTGGGGACAGCACGCGCTCGGCCAGGTCCCACAGCCGCAGCTGCCGGCGGGGATTTGGGAATGAAGGGTGGGGAACCTGGGGACAATGAGGGGACACCATGGGGACAGGACAGGGACACCGTGGGGACGCCATGAGGACACCAAGAGGACAATGCACAGACACTGTGGGGACACTGCGGGGACAACCAAGGGACACAGCGGGGACAACGTGGGACACCAAGGGGACACCAAGGGGACACCGCGGGCACAGCCCAGGGACACCAAGGGAACACCGTGGGAACAACATGGGACATCTCCAGGACACCAATGGGACACCAAGGAGACACTGTGGGGACACCCTGGGGACACGGCAGGGACACCATGGGGACACTGCAGGGAGAGGGCAGGGACACTGTGGGGACACTGAGGAGACACCAAGGGGACAATGCACAGACACCGTGGGGACACGGCAGGGACACCAAGGGCACACTATGGGGACACTGAGGGGACAAGGCAGGGAAACCAAGGGGATACCATGGGGACATCAAGGGGACATGGCAGGGGCAGCCCAGGGACACCCTGGGGACACCCTGGGGACACCAAGGGAGTTCTGGGTACCGCAGCCGCCACTGGGGGCTCAGGAAGGACGGGTTGGGAGCCTGGGGACACCCTGGGGACACGGTGGGGACACTGTGGGGACACCCTGGGGACACCCTGGGACAGTTTTTGGGTACCTCGGTGTCGTCGTCGTCGTCGAGCTCCACGGAGCTGCTGCGGCCACGCTCGGCGTCCTCGGGGGGCTCCGGGCTGAGGCCACCGTTGGTGGTGACAGGAGGAGGGGACACGCCGTGGGACGAGGTCAGGGACAGCTTCTGTGGGGACAGGGGACATTGTGGGTGACACCGTGTCACTGTGTCACTGTGTCACCGTGTCACTGTGTCACCAGTGCCACCCGACACGCCGTGGGGCACGGTCAGGGACAGCTTCTGTGGGGACAGGGGACATTGTGGGTGTCACCGTGTCACTGTGTCACCGTGTCACCAGTGCCACCCGTCACACCGTGGGACATGGTCAGGGACAGCTTCTGTGGGGACAGGGGACATTGTGGGTGACACCGTGTCACTGTGTCACCGTGTCACTGTGTCACCAGTGCCACCCGTCACGCCGTGGGACACGGTCAGGGACAGCTTCTGTGGGGACAGGGGACATTGTGGGTGTCACCGTGTCACTGTGTCACCGTGTCACCAGTGCCACCCGTCACGCCGTGGGACATGGTCAGGGACAGCTTCTGTGGGGGACAGGGGACATGGTGGGTGACACCATGTCACTGTGTCACCAGTGTCACCGTGTCACTGTGTCACCAGTGTCACCCGTCACGCCGTGGGACACGGTCAGGGACAGCTTCTGTGGGGACAGGGGCATCGTGGGTGTCACTGTGTCACCGTGTCACCTGTCACACCGTGGGGCACGGTCAGGGACAGCTTCTGTGGGGGACAGGGGCGTGGTGGGTGTCCCTGTGTCTCTGTGTCACTGTGTCACTGTGTCACTGTGTCACCAGTGTCACCTGTCACACCATGGGACACAGTCAGTGACAGTGTCTGCGGTGGCATGCGGTCACCGTGGGTGTCCCCCCACAACCCATGTCCCCAGTGTCCCCCCCAGTGTCCCTGGTGTCCCCCGTGTCTCCCTGTTGTCCTCAGCACTGCCACCCACCACACAATTGACACAATCAGTGACAATGTCCCCACACCCATGTCCCCATTGTCCCCACTGTCCCCGCTGTTCCCAGCAGTGCCACTCACCACGCTGTTGACACAATCAATGTCAATGTCCCCACCCATGTCCCCACTGTCCCCGCTGTTCCCAGCAGTGCCACTCACCACGCCATGGGACAATCAACGTCAATGTCCCCACACCCATGTCCCCATGTCCCCCCCCCAGTGTCCCCACCGGTGCCACCCATCACGCCGTTGACACAATCAGTGACAATGTCCCCAGTGTCCCCCCCATTGTCCCTGCTGTCCCCAGCGGTGCCACTCACCACGCCATGGGACAATCAACAATGTCCC